CTTACAGTACCAGGCGCAGGTTTCTTAAGCACAGTGGAGTACAGAAGTGCATCTCAATCAGCCAAAGCACACTGGTGCCCTTCTCCTCGTGACCACGCACCACCTCATCATCCTTACCATCATGCACCTCTAATTTTCTCTTCTGTCTCCACTATTCCTAGGACATTCAATCAGTGGTTCTGAAATTCTTAAATAATCATGTGGGTGCTTACACAAACGGCACTGAACAGTACCATGGAGAATGCATGTACTCAATGGCAGCTTTCTGAAGAAACATGCTCCATATACCTGCAGTTTCCTAGGCCCATCTCAAAAAAAAAAAAAAAAACTAAAAAAAAAAATCTTTTTTAAGCAAAAGGCATAACGTTAAAATATAAACCATTGATAACATGATTTTGGAGACAAGACAGATTGACTATATATTTTAGTTAACCCTATCCAAGAACGCTGCATTCTGCTCATCTAACTCATTTCAACAGAACACACTATCTTGAAGAATGAATGAATGTATTCTTCAAATATCAACTATGTTAGCTCTGTTTTTGTCAAGAATTAGAAAGCAACAAGGTTAAAGTTTCGGTCAAGCCTATAGTTAACACAAATCGATTGCACATTTCAAAATAGCTAGAATAATTTGAATGTTCCTAGTGTAAATAGAAGATATTTAAGGAGATGAATATCCCAATTACCCTGTTTTGATTATATGAATTTATCAAACTATCACATGTACTCCAAAAACATGTTCATCTACTATGTATCAATAAAAAATAAATTTAAAAATAAAAAACTTAAAATATTCTGTGTGGCTGAAAAATGACCAATTTATTTTGAATAGAAAACATGCAGACAGAAAAACTATCATGAAAATTTAAATATGTGAACAGAGGGTAGGAATTTTAAAAAGGTAATTTTTCTTAGAACTTTATGAAGTTCAAGAAAAATACCCTAAAACCAATATAAAGAATAGCAGGCACTGTACGCAGCAGTTCACCCACAATATCATGTTTGAATCTAGCCACAGCCATAAAGCAGTAATAACATGCCTAGTTATCATTCCAATTCTTCCTGTTGCAAGTAACAGAAAACCAGACCCCACCTGGCTGAAGCCAGTAAATGAAGAGACTAACAGGAGGGCCATGCTCAGGGCTCAAATACGTCACCAGGACATGGATTGCATCCTAGTCTCAGCTCTGCTAATTCCTGTAAAATCCTCCTTCCGAGGTTCACGGGGTAGCTGCCACAGCTTCCGGCTCTCACCTCATGATGACAAGCAAGACAACAATACAGCCACCACTTCATGACTGTTCTCATTTCTACACTCAGGAGAATGAGAGAAATTTCCAGTAGCACCCATAAAAACACTGAGTCCACCTGGCTGGCCTGGCTAGACATATGGCCAACCCTGATTAAGTTGCTGTGGACAGGGGCCTGGATTTTCTGCTTCACTTAGACTAGTCATATGTCCCATCCCAGGACTGAAGAAATGCCAGGGCTGTTGCTGGAGAGTGGCTACTGTCCCCTTTACAAATCAGGAGCTCATGGTTTAGGAAGATGAGCTTGCCAGAAATCAGACACTTACTTGTAAAATAAGTCAAAATTTCAACTTAGGTCTACTTAACTGAGCCCAAAGTATTACAATCAATTATGGCTGTTATCCTAGCACCCACGTCGCAGAACGGAGGAGCCCGAAGACTGCAAAGGACCCTTCCTTTTCTTCTAGATCCATCACCGATTGGAATATAAATCAATGTTACAATATTGAAGAAATCTGATTATGTGGAAAAAAATCATTATGAATTTTCATAGTCTGTTTTTGCAAACTTCAAAACAGGAATGATCAGTTTAGAAAAATTCATTTCCACTAAGAAAAAAGTAGAATCTTAAGTGGAGTTTAAAATTATCCTGTTTCATAGATATGTCATGTTTTCCAAATTTGTTTTTTAATGTCCTTAATGATTAATGATCAATTTCCAGTCTAAGTTGGTTGGTAATTTCTTGAGACCTTGCTTTCTTTTTGTTTTTTGTGTTTGTTTTTTAAAAAAGATTACTTGCATTTGTATATTTTCTCTGTACTTTCAGCCAAATTTCTAATTAAAGTACAACATCAGTCGAACCAACACAATAAAGTAATGTCATTTTAAGACAAGAAAAAACAAACTTCTACTGATTTCTGCTTCTGGCCATGAAGGAGTGTGAGGGACCAGATTTAAGTTCTTAAACTACAAAAACCAGGCCAAAAAATACAGGTTTCCAGGCACTGGACGACAGGGAGTGCAGGGCTGCGATCCTTAAGAGAAGGGAAGCAGCCGGTCAGGGGTTTCCAGGCCACAACCCAGATGGAGGCCAGCAGAGCAGCAGCAGAGGATGCAGGCTGAGGGCTCCAGGGGCCAACACGCAATCCGAGGGAAGCCCTTCCGTGGAGAGCTGGAGCTCTGGGGCGGCCTTCCCGAGCAGGTGCAGCGAGGAAACACCCGAGGCCGCGGCGAGCCACACGGGGGAGGAAGAACAGCCCGAGCTCACGGGAGCGGGGACGAGTTCCAGCTCCAGACAGCCCCGGGGGGGAACAGCGCAGCATTCGGGGCGTCAGGGAAAGCGCCCCAAGGCTCCGCTCGGGAGCGTGAACGCCACCGCCCGCTGCAAGCCTGGAAAGGAACGTGTTTCTCACGTCACTGCGACGTGTCACACACGCGGTCTGTCACGTAGGTAGCAGGAAAAAGCCAGCAGGCCACGCAGGGCGCACCGGGGCCTGCAACCAAACGCAAACGGCCGGGCCCACGAAGCAGGACACGCAAAGGGATCCGGAGAGAGGGGCCGGGAGTCGCCGACTACGCCAGACCGCCGGCGCCCACGCGGGGGTGGGGGCCGCGCTTCCGCGAGCCCGGACGCCTGAGCAGCGCTGGGGAATCCAGGGATCCCCCAGAAAACTGCCCTCGACTAACGGCACCGCAAAGGGGCCGTGCGCTCGAGACCCTGGAGCGAGAACGACCAGTCACGCGGGGAAGCAGCCGGGCCGCAGGCCCAGGTGGACGGGCGGCTGAGGAGCGGGGCTGCGCCCACAAAGCCGCCAGGGGCTGCGCACTACAGCGCGGCAGGCGCGGGGCTTGGCCGGCACCACACGGGACCCGGGCGCCTACACGCCCCTGCGCGTCAGCCAGCCGCTCCCGAACGCCCGCCACGCGATCCCCAAAGACGCCCGCGGCGCAAGCCTCGAAGGGCACGCACCTGCGTAGGGACGCGGACGCCATGGGCGGGGCGGGGCGGGGCAGGGCAGGTGAGCCTGCGCAGTGTGGGCCGGGCGGGGCTGGCGAGCATGCGCAGTGTGGGCCGGGCGGGGCTGGCGAGCATGCGCAGTGTGGGCCGGGCGGGGCTGGCGAGGGAGCGCGTGGGGAGCGGGCGCAGAGGCGGGCGTTGCTATGGCGACGGCGAGCGGCCGTGGAGTTGCCAGAGGGAGCTGGGGCGGACGTCCCTGGGTTCCCGTGTTCCCAGCAGAGTCGAGGCATGCGGAGGCTTGGAGGCGGGGGCGGAAAGAAGGGCGGCCCGCGAGGCGGGCGGGGTGCGTGGATGCGGGGTGGGGGCCGCTCGCAGCCCCGGTTTCGCCTCCTCCGAGCCGGGCCGGCGTGGGCCGGGTCCCGCCGCAGCATGGCCTCCTCGGGGTCCGGTCGGTTCCCACAGCTCCTCCTCCCTGAGGGGCGCGAACTCACGGCGGCCTAAAGCCTTAGAGCAGTGATCTCACGGCGGTGATTTTAGACCCCGGTAGGACCCGCCGCCATCAGGGGCCGCAGGTGCGGGGTGGTGTCCGCCCCCGGGAGCTGGGGCCTCTCACCCGCGCTTCTGGCGGGAGTAGACTCCCAGGAAAAGGCCAGCGGCGTTCACCAGGCAGGAGAGAACGCCAGGACCCTGCGTGGAATTGCATCTGTACGCCTTGGGCCTGGGTCTCGGGTGTTTTTATGGAGAGTGTTTAATAAGCTGTGGTCACTTGCTTTGGCACCCCAGTGGTCGTTTCTGCCACCAAGCCCTGCCTCTTGAGCTTGAATACTGGGATTTACAAAGCAACGTGTTCCTGGCATCTTAGCTTTCAGTACTGCGCAAGGGTTACCTGTCGAACCTACCAGTGCCACAGACTCGTATATTCACTCACCTGGTATTTGGTTTTCGCATGTATAAACTGGAGTTGGACTAGATACTTGAAGCATTTTCAGTATCTTTAAAATCTGAATTTTAAACTCTGGAACATAATACCATAGGACTTTAAAAGAGTACAGGTTTTAAAAGCTCTTACCTTGATATTAATGACAGTGGCCTACCGTGTGGAAACGAGATTAAATTGCAGACTGCAGATGTGACTGGACCGTAGGATGCAAACTATCTTCTGCCAGGTTATGGGCGTTTTGGAAACAGGAACTGAAAAATCTGGCAGTGATCTTTCAGTATTTTAAATTCTTTCCACCATTTCTCCAAGTTCAGTTGTCTGGATGACATATGGGGTGAAACTTCTTTCAAACATCTCGATGCCAGAATTGATGGGGGAACAGGAAACGGTCGCAGTAAGAACCATCACCAAAGCCTCTGCAGGACTTGAGCAGCGACTGACGTTTTTACCCCTAACCCTGGATATCTCAGATTTGGCTGTGCTTTTACACCTTAGTGAGTTTGTTCTTTCAGTTGGAGTAACTTAATACAAGTGTTAGTCTTTAGAAATGTAGTTCGGATTAATTTCTTTTTTTTTTTTTTTTTTTGAGACGGAGTTTCGCTCTTGTTACCCAGGCTGGAGTGCAATGGCACGATCTCGGCTCACCGCAACTTCCGCCTCCTGGGTTCAGGCAATTCTCCTGCCCCAGCCTCCTGAGTCGCTGGGATTACAGGCACGCACCACCATGCCCAGCTAATTTTTTGTATTTTTAGTAGAGACGGGGTTTCACCATGTTGACCAGGATGGTCTCGATCTCTTGACCTCGTGATCCACCCGCCTCGGCCTCCCAAAGTGCTGGGATTACAGGCTTGAGCCACCGCGCCCGGCCTTGGATTAATTTATATTTTTACAGTTAGGCCCTCAGTACAGTAAGTTCTCACTTAACCTCATCCGTAGGTTCTTGGAAACTGGGGCTTTAAGCCATGCAGTGTATAAGGAAACCAGTTTCATCAAGGCTAATTGATAGAAAGAAGAGGTAAGTTCCTACAGCACATTCCTGGTCACAAAAACATCACCAAACTTCTAAATAACGACCAAAGCATTTCTGTATGAAACATTGAAATACATGTGAGCTCTACATACACTGAAGAAAGTAAGATCATTATCCAATTTCTGGTGACTCAGTGAGTGACAGGATCGTGGAGGTGCTGCCTTAAATCAAGGATAATGTTGGCCTAGCCAAAGCTCTGAAGCGCCTCCTCCCGCCATGCAGTTTCGAAACAAACCAATTCTCAGTTGACTGCTTTCCTGCTGCACCGGGTGTTGTCCTGCATCTGTGTGATTACCGTATGCTTTACGAATTTCTATTTGACGATAATTTGTATCCTTCCATTCATTTTCCAACCTGTTTATTCCAGTTCAGGGTGGCAGGGAGCCGAGCCCATCCGGGCAGCTTAGGACCAAGGCAGGGAACAGGGCTGGAGAGGAGGGCACCCCATGGCGGGGCACGCTCACTCAAACACTCAGACAGGGACAGGCCAGTGAGCCTCATGTGCATGGCTTTGAGTTGTGGGAAGAATCCGGGATACCTGGAGAAAACCCACAGCGTGTGGAGAGAACGTGTAAACTCCACACAGTGGCACCTGCTGGGGACCAATTTTTTTTCTCATCAAAGTTGTAACCGAAACATTAGAAGAAACAATGTTATTCCCAGGCCTGCTATGCCAGTTCCTAGATTACTTGAATAAATTTCTCCTCAGAGTGTATTTTGAACACGTCTGTCTTCATAAAATATACCACGTCCAAAATCTAAAAGGGCCAATTCCAAATTATTCTTTTGAAGGGAAATTAGCTTTGAAGGGAATTGAAGCAAGTATAACAAGAATCTGTTCTGTGTGAAAAGACCTATTTTAGATACTTCAAAGGTCATCTCATTAATCCTCACGGCAATGCTGCAAAGCCAGCACAATTGCACCTGGTTTATAGATGAGGAGCCTGGGGCTCAGTTGTGGTAAGTATCTTGGGCAGCAATGTGGTAGCGTTCAACTGGAACTCAGGTTGATCTCTCCACATATTCTGTATGTCAGTGTTTTGGACAGACTGAAGTTAGCCAGTGTTCCTCTTGCGTTCCAGTTTCTTCATTGTTCCCTTTCTCCCCAAAATAAGCATATCATGCTGATTTCCAGCCTGCCAGTGCTTTCCTCCTACCTGAAGTGTGGCATGTTCATTTTCCTCTGTGTAGCTTTCAAATGCCACTTTAACTGTTATCTCTTTAGGAGATTTTTCCTTTACAAGTCTCCAGTGCTAGCCTGAAATTTTACAGTACTTATCTGTCATATATTAATGGATTGATTAATAGTAACCACTTGTATTAATGTGTTCTCAACAGCTCAGGAGTGAACTATTTGAGGATAGGGATGAGTCAAAGTGTAACTGATTTGAGTTCACCCCCTTCCTCCAGAACCAGAATGTGTTGCTTAGTGCCACCCTGTAGCAGGCATTCCCACTGCTGCATTATCAGTTAGACTGTTCCACAGATCGTTCTCACAGACTTCATAAAAGGTTTTGATGTGCACTGTAACTCTGACTTTCTGTTGACCATGTTTTTCAGCAGAAGAATAGAAGGAATATGATATGATGTGATGATAGAATTTGTGATAGCCAGGCAACAACTTCTGATTCGGCATGTTAAAACATAAGGTATCCTATTTTTTCTTAAACATACACATTATTTGACTCATGAAATATATTTTAATTCAGCTGTTTGAGAGTATAAAAAATAGTTTGCAAACACTGCTTGAACTAGGAATTGTTACCAGGAATGGGCAATGCCAAGCGTGGCATGGGGCAGTAGACAGGTTGATGGGAAAAACAGTCTCTGGTGATATTTACTGCAAGCATCTCTTAGCTGTTTGGTGATTTTTTATTCTGCATAGGAAATTACTCAGTTTTCACAGAAAGGCATAAACTGAAATGCAAGATTCTATTTAGTAGTTGCCTGGAGTCTGACGGGTTTGTTTAGGCACGCACAGGTTTATAGGTCATAATGAATTTATGCATATTATAATTAAGTCTTAGTAATTAGGTGAAAAGATATTCCTGTATTGTTAACATAAATGCGGAGACAAGGGTCTGCTACCACTTACGTAACAATGAGTCAAGCATTCCTTGCTATTTGATTTGGTCATATATGCCATCAAGGTTGAGTACTGAAACCTTGTAATAGCTTCTAAATGATATATTACATAATATTCCTCTAAATATGACTTATTTCTTACTTTGTAGGGTCACTCATCTAAGAAAAATAACTTGGCAATCAATGCAGTTGCTTTACAAGATCACATTTTACATGATCTTCAGCTTCGAAATCTTTCAGTTGCAGATCATTCTAAGACACAAGTACAAAAGAAAGAGAACAAATCTCTAAAAAGAGACGCAAAGGCAATAATAGATACTGGACTTAAAAAAACTACACAGTGCCCCAAACTGGAAGATTCAGAAAAAGAATATGTTCTTGATCCCAAACCGCCACCATTGACTTTGGGTAAGCGGATGTGGTCATGCATCTTTTGACGTATTAGAGCTTCTGAATCTGTTGAGGTCAATAGTATAATTTTTTATGTTACAGAAATAATTTATCTCGATTTATAATTATACAGAAACGTGTGTATGTACTGAAGGCATGTGCGTGTTGAAGCTTGAAAATGATAGGGGTCATTAGAGCAAGAGACTAAAGACAGTAATGGTGAGTAGGGTGGCAAGTAAACATGGGAGAACAAAAGAGATACCTGTTGGTTTGGAGTGATAAAAATAAATTTGAGTAAATCAGTGATGGAAAAGAAAAGTCCCTTATAGTAGAATGACTGTAACTCATGGAGATAATAGACAGGAGATAGAAAATCACCTTTGGCAAATATTACAGTAATTGTCATCATTGCTGAAATTAGAAATAAGAAAAATTATGTCCAGACACAGAATATTGAGGTAGCCTCACAGTTTCTTCATAGATGCAAGTACACAACAGGGAGAAAAACAGTGACTTCACAGTATTTCAACCGTACATGGTAGCACTTGGCAAGCAGCACCTGAACCAAGTAATCCCAGTTAGCTCAGCAGTAATGCACAGGCCAGCATCATGTGCCTCCCGCTGAAAGATGCAATGTCACTTCTGTGGCATTCTTAGCAAAATGCATATCTAAATTTAATCATGAGGAAACCTCAGACCAGCCCAAGTGAAAGACTTCCACACAGTTCCTGGCTAGTACTCTTCAAAAGTGTCAAATCAACAGAAGCAAACGGAGACCTAGAAAAACTGTTCCAGATTATAGGAGACTAAAGGAACATGGCAGCTGCAAGTGCAATTTGTGACCCTGGATCAGATCCTAGTCCAGAAAAAAAGACATCAGTGTGACAGAGAATCATATCTGCAGAAGGATGCAGGCTAATTGATAGATGATATCAACATTAATTTTGTGGTTTTGATCTTTGTACCAGGGTTATATAAAAGGTTAACATTTGGGGTTAAGAACATAGGATAATTATTTTCTTTTTACAAGTGTGAATATTTATTTAGAATGAGACCAAAACTTGCAACAAATTAGGAATTTCAAAAAAGATGAAAAATATCCCAAACAAAAATCAATAAAAATAGCATAATATTTTATATTAATTCACTTACTGAAATATCTCTATAATACTTTTTCCATCTCTTTTGATTGCTAGGCACTCTTTAATATATTTTCATGTGACAATAATTCTGTAATGGCATTTTCTATGGAAATAAGTCAGTTTTACCTCCATCATAGCTGATTGAAATTCTTTCCTTATAATAGGTGGGATACACAGCATGCAGCTTCACACAACTTTTTACTATGTATAGTATTGCTACAGGTTTGTGCCTATAAATAAAGGCATGTAAATCAATTCCATTTCTTCTAATTAATAAAGGAAAGGAAGTGTGTTATGAACTTAATTGTAAATGCTGTATTTAAGTATATTAGTTTCCCGGTGCTGCTGCAACAAATTAGTACAAACTGGGTGGCTTAAAACAAAAGAAATGTGTTCTCTCACTGTCCTGGAGGCCAGAAGTCCAAAGTGGCGCTGTTGGCAGGGTTCCACAGGAGAACCCTTCCTTACCTTTCCCTGGTGCTTCCTGGCATTGCTTGGTTTGTGGCAGCTTCACTCCGGTCTCTGCCTCTGATGTCACACGACCTTCTTCTCTATGTGTGATTGTGCCCTCCCTTCTCCTCTTCTTATAAGGATACCATTCATTCGACGTAGGGCCGACTTTAAACCAGTATGACCTCATCTTAACTACATCTGCAAAGACCCTCTTTCCAAATAAGGCCAACATTCTGAGGTTTCAGGTGAACATGCATTTTGAGGTGACACTATTCAACCCAGTACATCAAGTATGTCGGTGATGGGGAGAACTTCGGTCTAGATTAGGCATCAGTGAGACGGAATCCTTCACTTACATTTGTTGTGTGGAAGACTTTTTCACAGCATCAGTCTAAGTACATTCTTTGTTTCTTATCCACTACTCACATGTATTACTGTGGTGATAGGCACCAGAGGTCCAGTTGACAGCTCAATGTGGCTAGGCTATGGTTTGAATGTTTGTCCCCTTCAAAGCTCATGTTGAAATTTCAATTTGTTTTGTTTTTTTTTTTAGACAATCTCCCTCTGTTGCCTAGGCTGGAGTGCAGTGGCACGATCTCACTGCAACCTCTGCCTTCCAGGTTCAAGTGAATCTCATGCCTCAGCCTCCCAAATAGCTGGAATTACAGGTGTGTGCCACCACACTCAGATAATTTTTGTATTTTTAGTAGAGACGGGGTTTCACCATGTTGGCCAGCCTGGTCTCAAACTCCTGACTTCAGGTAATCCACCCAACTCAGCTTCCCAAAGTGGTGGGATTACAGGCATGAGCCACCACACCTGGCCTGTTTTTGTTTGTTTGTTTGCTTGCTTTTTGTGTATGTGTCTTCTTTTTTATTTATTTTTATTTCAGTAGCTTTTGTGTTACAAGTGGTTTTTGGTTACATGGATGAATTACATAGTGGTGAATTCTGAGATTTCAGTGCACCGATCACTGGAATAATATACCTTGTACCTAACGTGCAGCTTTTTTTTTAATCCCACACCCCTTTCACCCTTCCACTTTGAGTCTCTAATGTCCATTATACCACTCTGTACGCCTTCGCATACCCATAGCTTAGCTTCCACTCATAAGTGAGAACATACAACATGAGTTACTTCACTTGGAATAATGACCTCCAGCTTCATCCACGTTGCTGCAAAAGACATTTTTTCATTCATTTTTGTGGCTGAGTAGTATTCCATGGTGTGTATATACCACATCTTCTTTATCCACGGGCACTTATGTTGGTTCCATATCTTTGCAATTGTGAATTGGGCTGCAATTTGTGTGTATGTGTCTTTTTCATATAATGATTTCTTTTCCTTTGGGTAGACACGCAGTCATGGGATTGCTGGATCGAGGGATAGATCTACTTGTAGTTCTTTTTTTTTTTTTTTTTTTTTTAAAGGTGATCAGTTATTTAATTAGATCATCAGGACATTTAAAATACCAATTTGTGAGGATAAATTCCATTTGTTAGGGCAAACACAGATCGCAGGTAGCCCTGGAGCTGAGGAATAGCTTTGATTTTTGGTAAAATTTGTGAGTCCACAGCTTTCTGATCAATCTTGCACTGCTGTGTGATCTCGTATTTCTCTTTTTCTGTGTCGAAGATCTCACCTTCCTGGTGTCTGGGCTTTCGCAGCTTCTTCTTGAAGTAAGCATCAGTAAGATGTTTTGGGATTTTTACATTGCTGATATCAATTTTGGTTGAGGTGGCAGTGACAAATTTCTGGTGCGTTCTTCGCAGAGGAACTCGATTGAGGACCAGAGGTCCAGTCACAAGTAATAAGCCACTAGCCAGCTGCTTCGGGAAAACCAGGCTTTTGCCCCTGTGGCTCCAGTGAGGATGATCAGAATGGTCCCGGGGGTGATGCTGGCTCGCAGTTTTCTCACGTGCTGACTCAAGGGTTTTTGCCGTGGCTCAACAGCTTTCGAGGCACATCTTCAGTAGGATAATACTTAGGCATTTTGCGAAGTTTAACCACCTGGGTACCGCCGTTTTTGTCACCACCAACTGGTTTTGTAACAGTTGCAAGAACCTTCTCCTTCTTTTTCTTTTCAACTTTGGATTTAGCTGCTGAGTACTTCCTCTTGTACACGGCCTTTCTGGAATACATGGCAGATCGGGAATACCTGCCGATTCCTCTGACAAGAACAGGATTGCGGCTGCAATGGGGCTTCCCCTTCTTGGGCTTTTTAGCCTTGAGGTTACCCTTTTTCACTTTGCTACCAGCATCAGCCTTCTTGGCTTCAGGTTTCTTCTCTTTAGTATCCGGCTTCCCAACTTTTTCACCCGCCATCTTGCAAGATGGGAAAGAGCTCTACTTGTAGTTCTTCAAGGAATCTTCATGCTGTTTTCCATAGAGATTGTACTAATTTACATTCCCACCAGCAGTGTATAAGCGTTTGCCTTTCACCACATCAACAGCAACATCTGTTGTTTTTGACTTTTTAGTAATGGGCATTCTTGCAGGAATAAGGTGGTATCTCATTGTGGTTTTAATTTGCATTTCCCTCATGACTGGTG